CTTCTTTTCCTCTCCAGGACAAGCACCCTGATATGACTTTTTAATCATCCCTTGACTTTGAATATCACAAAAATAGTGATGCCTCCAACTTATGCATTCAACTCTGGATTCTTTCCCTCACTTTCAAACACATATACAACCTCCGTCATGACAGGCACTTGGGTATTTCAAACATGTTCAAAACAAAACTACTGAATTCCTTCAAAATGACTTTTTCCCTAAATTCCCCACTTCAGTAAATGGTGCCATCATTATTCACCCAGATTTTCAGACCAAAAAACTAGTAACATTGCCTTGGCTGGTGTGGCTCAGTGGATTGAGTGCCAGCCTGCAAACCAAAACATCACTGGTTCAATTCTCAGTGAAGGCACATGCCTGGGTTGTAGGCCAGGCCCCCAACGGGGGGCGTGAAAGAAGCAGCCCATCAATGTATCTCTCCCATGTCGATGTTTCTCTCCCTCTCTTCCTCCCTCCCTTCTCCTCTCTCTAAAAAATAAATAAAACCTTTTAAAAACTAGTAACATGATTTATCTCTTTACTCCCAAATCCAACATATTTAGCAGCAGTCTTCTATAACTGCAAATCATACCAGCTTCTTGCCTCATTCTCTAATAGCTTCTTATTAAGATTAAACAAACTTCTTACATTGGCACCCAAAAATCTCCATGGTCCACCTCTGTCTGTCTCTCCTCATCTGCTAAGTCCTTTCCCTAACTCATATTGCTTGAATGACAGAAATATTCTGTTTTTCCTCAACTGTATAATGTATCTTCACTGCAGGGACTTGGCAATTGCTATACCTCTTTCTGCAACACTTTTCTTCCTTATCCTCATCTAATTTAATCCTGTAGATTATTAATATTCCTGGATATATTATAACATCCTCAGAGAGACCTTTTATCAGTCCTCTATCTCAAATAGGTGCTTATTATTCTGTAACTCTTTCTTCTTTTCTTGTATTTTTTCTTCATAAAATTTACAACTTCAAAAGTCATATGTATTATTTGTTTACTGGCTTATTTTCTGTAGCCCTTCTAAGAATGTTAAGTTCCAGGAGCTAGGAATTTAGTCTTATATACTGTTGTAGCCACGGTACCTACTAGAGCTGTAGGCCATGATAAGGAGTCCAAAAAAATCTGTTCAGTGAAAGAATAAATATGTTGAACATGACATAGAATGTACTAAAAATAGGAGAGAAACACAGATAAGGAAAATAAGTAAAATTTAATTAAGTAGGTTTTTAATAGTAAGAAACAAAGAAATTAGTGATACTGTGCTTGAATTTTATTACTCAGTATAACTTCAAGATTTTGAAAAATGGTCACTGACATTTTCTAATATGCCCTCTGGAGTTGCTTGCCTATCACCAGTATCAGGATATAAATATGAATCCCTGACCCAGGCTGATATCCTTTCCATTTTTATTCATTAATTCTGAGAGAAAAACCAGTGCTGAGTCTTCAGGGAAAATAAAGCAAGACCGACTTGATGACTTACTAATTTTGGAGAGTGATAATGAACTCCTCAGTTTTCTAAAATAGCATAGTGTTTCCAGTTGTGGAAGTAGCATGTAAAATAGATAACTCAAGAATAAAGGTAATTAGTATAGTTAAATTCATAGATTGAATTTAAATAAACTCAATCTATGTAAAAATTAAAAATAAATAATTTAGTTCATAATGATACTATACTAAAATAGGAAGTGAGAAGTTACCTTGAGTATGCTAAAATGTTGTTTTCTGGCATACATAGTTTTAATCTTATGTAGATAACAAAGAAATATTATTAATTAATATAATTTATAAAGTCCTACACAAAATTTTTGTCAATATGTAAGTTACTATCCACTGATGATTATTGCCCAAAATTAGACATATTCAAGGCATTTGGTTAAAGTATTACTATAAAAAAAAGTTATAGCTTTAAAAGGAAAGAAAATATATGGATCATCAAAGAATAATTTGCATAGGAACTTAAAGTTCTTTATGTGATTATTGCATACTAAGGATGAGAAAATATAACCTAATCTGATGTTTGCTGTCACTTGTACATTCCATACTTAAAGCACACATAAACACACACACACACACACACACACACGCACACACTAAATCAGTCTTGTATTGATCTTTCCTGTTTGGACACAAGAGTATAATATTTTACTTCCAAGCAGTAATGAACTCTAGTTCTCCAGCCAAGATAAAACATTTGAACAAATAATTTAGTACTATTTGTAATTAGTAGCATTAACACATGAGTTAGCACATTCCTTCATTTCTTATAAAACAGTAACAAAAAGTGGGCTCTTGTTTTTTATATGAGTAAATAATAAACCTATTATATCTAATAAGCATACTGAGACCCGGAAACAGATAGATAGTTGTTCTTGAGCACATCCTGTTTCAAATGACACTTTGAGATTCTATTTTACAATTCTAGCTTCCTTTTTTTCAAAAGGAGCTCAGTCATGGTAAACATGATCTAGGAAAATCACTAGCATAGATCCCATTGTCCATCATTTCCAGCTAGATGGAGAATATACAAACACTGAGAGTACCCTAATTTAGGACAGAACTAGAAACTAGGGGAATGAGCCCTGAGCCCTAAACCCTATTGTAAGGCCACTATCGCTTCTGAAGCATCTGGTGTAAAGACAATCAAATTACACTCACCCAAGTGGGTGAGCTAGTGAACCCTGTCACGAGTTGTTTTCCCCTTCTCTACTTTTGTCACTAGCTCAGGAGCCTTGAAGGCTGTCAGTATGCTAACCGTCAAGTCCAAACATTACTTATCACCTACTATGATTTTTGAGTCACTTTATTCTGATATTCTGATATTCCATCTATAAAATAAAGAGGTCTGTGTCTTTTCTAAGACATCTCCCAAAAGTAAAATTTACATTTTAAGTTACATTTCAAGTTGAATTCTTATATTCACTTATGGGTTTTTTTAAATTGTTATCCATATCTTAGAATTAAGCTCATAAAACAGTGAAATAATAATCGAATTTACTTAAGACTAAGTAAAAAGACTACATGCATGTAATAAATAGCAAACAAAAAATGATTTTTATAGATAGTCATAAAAATAAGGTGTTCTTGATGCTGTGACCACTTACGTAGTGAAGTATTTGATATATGTTCATGAATATGGCTATTGTTTAATATCACAACAGGATTTTTTTAAAGTTCTTACTTTCCTTTTTGATGCTGTTCGGAGCCCAAAACAGCAAAACATCACCGCAACTACAAGAAGGAAGATCTTGAATATACAGGGTCCAGCACAAGTAACACCCTTTTTTATTATAAAATCTTGTATTACAAAATCATAAGCATGTTAATCCTGTAACATAACAATGTCACACTTAAGCTCACCATATGACATTTCAGGTGAAATGTTCAAATTGCTCTCCATCCCGTGTGAGACAGTCACATACACTACCTACCACACTCAAGCAAGCCTTCCTTCTGCTGAACTCTGTATATTTATTTATAATTTACCAACTTTATTGACGGTTTCTAAAACAGCATGTATTGTGAAAGGATATGGGCTTTACAGTTAGATGGATTGGGTTCCAATTCCAGTTCCTTCACTTACCAGCTATAAAACCTTAAAAGATCAAACACCCACCAATTAATATTTACTTTAGGTGAGTAAAACTTCATTTTATTCAACAGTGCTATATTTCCAGTAGGGCTTGGCATATTGTAAATATTTATTGAAAGGATGAACCTCTCAGATCTCCATTTTTCATTAGGCAATGAAGAAAATGACTTAATACTTCATTCTTGAATAAAAAAGGCAAATATTATGACAGTCAATAGAAGAGCCCATTGCACTTTGTAGGTGCTTAAAATATGCTTGTTTCTCTCCTTGACCCAGTGTAAAATAAAATGAAACTAGGCCTCGTAAAGAGCAGATATTTTTCTTACAAAAATACTGAAATACATTCTCTATAAAAGCAATGAGACAAGAGTATGTAGTTTACTATCAATTAGATTTTACTTAGGGGAACCCTTGATTATAAAAAATGCTTGCTATCATTCTCTTGTTCCTGCAATTATAACCAATGCCATTCTCAATGGGTATTGCATCATCTTATTTAACTAAATTGTGACCAGTTTCAAAAGGATACTTTTGCTCAAAGGTAAGCTGCTTTACTAGATTCCTTGATCCTCAAGGTCAGTGATGGGGTCATATAGGATCTGGCTGAGCCATAGGAAGATGCTGATATTTGGGCATTATGACCTACAGGGACAGCAATTCCATGTGGTTCAGCCAGCTGTCAGTCAATAAATATTTATTTTTTATATGTAAGGATAAAACAGTAAACTTAAATTTAGTTGTTAATTCTCCGCATGCTCTATAAAGCTAGCTGCCTTAAGAGTGATGCTCCAATGTATGATTATAAACATAAATAATAAACTAAAATCATCAGGCAAAATGTCTTCTTTTGCGCTGTTTGCTCTTGCGTCCGGGAAACTGAACACAAGTAACCCCTTGCTTGCCTACCCACTGTACAGCCTCCGTAAGGTCCTCCTGCGCATTCTGCCTGACTCCTTAAGATCCAGGTCAAAGGCTCCCTCCCCGCTAAGCCTTCCCAGGCGTGCCCTTTCCTCTTCCCACTATACACACACCTCGTAGAGTATAGGAATCTACACTTAGGAGTGTGTCTCTGCCTTTACCTAATTTGAAAGCAAGTAGTTTTCAATTTGCAAATTTACAGGCACATGGAAATACGTCTTTAGTTTCTTAAAGCCTTTCATTTGTAACATTTGATTTTTATTGTGGCGTTTCCTTATATGCAAATCATACTTTTAAAAAATTTGCATGGCAAGCCTTTCCCCACACGTTTACCAGAAAAAGCAAGTAAATTCCTGGATTCTACAAAATGGAACAATGATGGGTTTTAGCTTAAGTAAAATAGAAACAATATAGCAATTGTCAGACATGTTTACTTTATTACTATGTATTATTAAATGAGCAAACAAAAAACTTACCAGTCTCAGCAGTTCTTATGGAGAGTAAAGAAGATAACTGATTGCCATGACCCAATCTGGTGTAAGACCTTACAGAAATGTTATAGAGGCTGTAAGGTTTTAAGTCCCTTAAAATTATATTTGTTGTTGAGGTGTTTTTCATGAATAAGGTATCTATATTTTTATAGAGAACTTCATAAGCAACAATAATCCCATTGGGTTTCTCAGGTGGTAACCACTTCAAACTTATTTCATTTGCCGTAACATCAGTAGCTTCCACATCTTGAGGCGATGATTCTGGTTCTAGGGGAAGAAAAGAAAATTTTAAAAATATGTATTTTTTTCCCATGGTTATTGCTTCACATGCTGAAGGCAGCATGAGGGAGGCGGCAGTGAGCATGCAACACCACTTGCTTTTTCTATTAAAACTGCACTGGGTAGCCTTACCATCTTCTGGAGTTCTCACAAAGAGGTCATTTTCTTCAGACAAAGAACTTTCGCCAACATGGGTTGAAGCAGCCACCCTCATTTTATATTTTGTGTATTTCTTTAACCCTATAAAGACAATAACAATCTGTTTAAATTCATTAAAATAACACTCTTAGATTAGTGCCACTTGACACAGAAAGAGTGAAAACAATTTATTTGGAAGACCGACCACCCAGGCCAGCTTCCTTATAACTCCACTCTCCTAAGATACCTTGGGCTTGAGGATCGTCCCATGTTGATGATGTTTTAGTTCTTTCCTAAAATATTAATGAAGAATTTGAGGCTGAAAAATAACTTTTGGCACACTGCAAGGAGTATAGTTGACTTGGCACAAACACCGTATCAACTGATTTACTTTTCAGCTGATTTTCACATCCATTTCTTCCAGCCTTCAACACTGACTTGTTTTAATATACCAGACATAAAATTCCCTGGGTGAAGTATATTCCTAAGATAACTTGTGATCTGATGGTTTTACCTCTTTGCAGATAAATATAAAGGAGAACACATTTACTCAAGTTATTTCTTCACCTATTTTTAAAAAGATCCATGATGACATAGCACAACACAATCTGGAATGAAGAAACACATGTTCCTGCAGGGCTTAAGGCACAAAGTGGTGCATATTTTCCATGAGAACAGAAAAGTTTTTTAAGAAGCAAAACTTCGTTCTACCTGTTATGAGAAAGCTGTTATCTACAGTAGTCATCTGGAAAGCTCTGTTTGTATCCAGTTCCATTGCATAAATTGTATAATGAGTTATTTTTCCATTGGGGTATTCTGGAGGATCCCAATATAACAAAATAGATGAAGAACTAATATTTTTATAGTTTATAATTTGAATGGAGCTTGGCACTTGAAGAGAAGAATGAACAATTAATATGGATAAAAAGAAAAGTATTACAATGTGCAAGAGCAATAATTGAAGGCAATTATTTCAAAGGGAGTACATTCTTACCTTGCTCAAGTGTCCTCACATTGAGAACCGTTGGTGGTCCCTCTCCCATGATGGTGAAAGCAGATACACTAATCATGTGCTCAGTGAAAGGTACGAGTCTCTTGATAACGTAAGACAGCTGTTCAGCAGCAATGTCAGTGATATGCTGGTTCCATGTAGTTCCTATTAAAAATCATTGTTTTGTTTTTTTTTTAAAAAGGCATTTGGGTTCATGATCAAAATTATTTTTGTTCACTCAGTGAAATCTTAAAACTGATTTCTCATTATTTGTTAATCTCTCCATGCACTCTTTTATATGAAAGGTAAATGTATAACTAATAATAAGTATACTGAATACTCCCTAATAATACCTATGAACATGTTGTATTCATAATGTAGCTTTGCTAGTTATTATACACTATTCTCAAATGTGAGATAGGAGCGTTGAGACAGTATAACTTGCTAAAATGGACTGGCTAGCAATTTCATCTGAAAAGACAGACTACACAATGATATCAAATTGAAATATTTTGTCATTGCTAGATTATACTGTGAAAGATAGAAATGAGACTTTTATTTGAACTCAAAATTCACTATACATTCACTAAACCCAGTATTATTTTAAAGCAAGCCTATTCGGATAACTGATACATAAATCTGTCTGAATAAAGATTTCAAATAATGTTAGGTTTTTAAAAATTTATTTAGAACTTGTGCTTTGAGGAATGTTAATTAGCAATTAGGACAAAGTTGAAATGTTTAAGGAAACATCTGTATCAGAAACTGTGGACTTCTAATTTGTAGCATTGCCCCAGTGCTCTTTGCACAAAAAATGAATAAATCAGTGAATGAAATAAACATATACGGAAGGTAATGTGATTTTTTTGTCTGATTCCACCTTCAATAAAATAACACTTTTAGTTTGGAACAGGACAAATACCAAATCAGAGAAAAGATGAGGGAAAGATATTCTTCTCAGTTAGCATTTCAGAAAAACCAGAGATAATTTACATCTGAGTTTTCTAACCAAGTAGTTTTAATTTGCTGTGTATGACATTCTTCTTTTAGAAACAATAAGATCCATTGACCCCGAAGAGCAAGTGTATATACTAATGACATCACCACGTCGTTGGGGTCACTTACACCTGTTTATCACTGCATGCACCGGAGTTGTAACTTTCTGACCTATTTACCTTTAGTGACATCTGAAAACTTATTAGTCAAAAGCTGCAGAGAGGGTGAGGCCTGTAAATGATTTGGAGATATGTTAATCCCTCCCCATCACACCTGCTCTGGCAACTGTAATAACTGATTGTCTATGCAGCTTGGCCAAAGACTCTAGGGTGCTACTTTCTCTAGGAGGAAGGTCAAACGGGTTAGAAGGGGCCAGCTTCTGCCTGTGTGGCATTTCCATTTGCTGCATGAGGTTATCCAACAGTTAAAGAAGAAAAAAATCTGACTCCAGCCCATGAACCATTAATAATGTGGTTGAACTTTAAGCTAAGGTTCATATCTCTGCTAGCTAGCACTGCTGGTTTAAGTGTACTTCATAGAACATAAAAATTGCACCTACCAACTGTTGAATGCTGGTCTTCAACTCTATTCCTCGCAGGAAATTTGTTACGTGGATAATTGTTATACATAACTGAAGCAATTGCGTACAGGTCAGAAGATATCTCTGCTGAACCCTCAAATAATTCTGCCATTGAATCTACTGTGTTCACAGTTTCTGGAATGATGGGGTTGCTTACATACTGTAATTAAAAACAGTTTCTTAGAGAGAATGTTTATAACCATTATACTTAATAATGACTTCACTCGAATATTAATTTAAGAAACTTGTGACTTTGGAATCATGTTTTTTAAAAAGATAATATTTCCACGACTTCTGTCTCCTTTACATTCCAAAATTTAATTCTGAAGCTGCTAAAATCCTGCATCATAGTAACACACTGTGGTCACTACTGTCTTAGGAGACAAATCAATATTGGATTGTAGGAAGAAGGAGGCATTCATTTCTGACTTCAGATATCATAAAACTCAACATCCATGTGCAAAATTTCAGGACTAAAATATTTTAACTGCTTCCTTTACCCGCAAAAGGAAAGTACTCTAGGAGTACTGCTTTATGCCAGGTGTGAGCAGCCTGCATGATTGCTTAATGAATGTTCAGTAATAGGAGTTTATCTAGGACTGACTGAGGTTATAGACATGAACAAAACTGCATGGCAATATGTCTCAGACAGGGTCCACGGCAGACTTATCCATCTCTGGATCTAAGGAATATTTTCAGTAACTGTAATTATTTCTAGATCCCATAATGTACTTCACACATGTCAAGTTCACCGAAGTGGCAGATATTGAGGTAAAAAATATCAGGAGCAGATTACAAATATTTAAAGATTTTTGTTGTGATAACAAGACAGCTCTCTCTCTTTTCCCTCTTCATGCAGCATAGTTGATTGAAACAGAATGGCGAAAGGGTGTTTTAGCCAAGTAGTATTAGGTATTTTGCATAAATTATCAACCCTAAAAATAAGGCTAAATATTAATCAAATGAAACGTTGCTTTAAGGGACTTAACAACCAAATACAATGTGTGGACTTTGGATTCTAATTAGAACATACCTAGCAATGTAGGCTTTGAAGACAATCAGGGAAATTTGAATGCGATCTAGGCATTAGATGGTACCAAGACAATATTAGTAATTTTGTTAGCTGTGATAATGGAAACATTGAGTGAATTAAAACATCCAGTTGTTTTTTTTTTAGAGATTTGCAATTAGTTAGACACGTAGGAGCAAAATGATATGAATTCTGTAATTTAAAACATGTTCATAGAAGTAGCAATAACACAAGAGAGCTGAGGAAAGAATGGCAGAATGTTGATAATTATTCAATCCTGGTGATGGATAATTGGGAGCTCTTTATTCTCTTTTCTTTACTTTCTTGGCTATTTAAAATTTTCCAAAATAAAACAGTTTTGGAAAAAAGAAAACATTGCAAGGACTACTCTTTTTTCATCTATTTCTTTTCAAGTTCTGCTTCAAAACTCAGCTCTAAAAGCATTTATTTAAAAAAAAAACATTTATTCTCAATTATAATTCATAATTTAGATTTTATTTACTTATTAATTTTGGTATAGATATCTTTCAATTATCTTATATGTTTGGGGTTATCTTTCCTCATAAAGCCAAAAACAGGGTTTTTTTTTTATTACTTAGTAACATAAAGTACTTAGTATTTTCAAAAATAGGAGATGCTTAGGAAAAAATATCTCAGGAAAGCAAGACATTTTAAGGCAGTTTATTTAATTGAGTATCTACAAAGACAGATCTTTTTGATATTAACTCTTCTGAGAGATAAAATAATGGAGAAAAGATTCAAGAAAATTTCCAGTTCTCCAAATGATATTTTTGAGATAAAGTTATCCAAATCTTGTTACATTTTTACCCAGAAAAGTATTGTGGTGAAGAGCAGGGGGACACCTATATGAGCTGTTCTAAAAATGTTGTGATTAAAAAAAAAAAACCCTCCAGAAAGGGAACCCTATATGGGACAAGTGAAAGGTCTTCTGTCTTCCAACAGCTCACTTCAGCTCCCCTCCCCAGGAAAATCAGGGAGGGCACGAAACACAAACACATAACTCAGAGATGCTCTGGAATTTTAGTCAATACTTTATGCCCAAACCACACAGCTGTTTCTACTATCAATTAGCCACTCTGACAATCTACTGTGTATAAACTGCTATAGAAGGTACAATGAGGCAGGACAAAGAATTGCCCCCTGCACTATGATTTTGCATTAAATCTCTACATATTTATACCCATGTCAGAAAAGTTATTGTGAGTAAACCACAGCATCCTATCAATTAACTAGGCTAAGCATCTCTGTTGACATACTGTCATTTCAAGGGAAGGGCTGGTCTGTACACTTACAACTATCTGCAATTCTCCGAAATTCTGGTATTCATTGGAAAAACCCTCCTTAACCAGGGCAATGATTTGAACATTGGTTTTACAGCAATTCAGCACATAACTAATTATCAGGGTGTGCCATGGAGCAATAGTTCTCATAGTTTGACTCTATAAGAAAGCATTAGATATTAATTGGTGTTTTTTAAAGAAGAAAAAGAAAAATTGAAGTGCAAAAATGATGGGAGAGAATTAGAACCTGAGAAATAATGGCAAGGGGCAAAGTAAAGCAGAAGTAGAAATAAAGAAAATACAGGGGAAAAAAAAAACCATTGCAGCTTCCAAAAGATTAGGACCCATTGTGTTGGTCCATGGTTTTCACCCTAAGCACTATTGACATTCTGTGTCACATAATTTTTGTGTTGTAAGGAGCTGTTGTGTGCACTGTGGGAAGTTTAGCAGTATCTCTGGCGCTTACTGACTAGAAGTATCTTCCTAGCTGTGACAACAAAAAAAATGTCTTCAGAGATTCCAAATGTCTCCTGGAGAGCAAAATCACCCCCAATTGAGAAGAACTGAGTCAGGGAATGCCACAATTCATCAACATGAAAAGCCTCTTATAAGCTACCCAGGGATCTTTGGAATTTATGTGAAAGAATTACAAGTCCTTAGAGTTAAATTCCAAATCGACCTGATTAAACCAACTTGGTTCTACATGTAATAGTCTTCATTACAGTTAATCAGATTTTATTTAAAACAAACCCAAAAAATATCTATCTATCTATCTAGCCCTAAATTATATCTGTCAATGTGGACTCACTGGATGTATTCTGAATTAAATTAATGAAAATTTAGATTTATTCTTAAGAAATGCTTCTATGTTTTATTACAGACTATGATGTGATTTATGTTATCTATTATCAAGAAACAATAAAAAGAAAAGTTTGCAATTTGCAAATGTTTGGAAGCCTCCTATTAGATATTGTATCATTCTACACATTATTTTAGTGAAAAAAAATCATTAAGGCTTGCTTCTGTTGTTTCTAATGCTCAACAGAGTAACCTTATCTCAAGCATTCTTAAACTGTTACTGAGTCCTTCCTCAGCATCATTCCATAGCAACTGGCCAACAGTGAGCTGACTTTCCTCTCATGTTCATTGGGGACCAACATTGATAAAATTGAGAGACATTTTAGATAAAAAAAGTATCTGTATGAATCTCAGAAATTTGTAACACTAAGTAGCAAGATGGTGTCTTTTGGGAGAAAATGGCCCAGCATTCTTCTAGGAGAATAAGTACAAGATGAGATCTGAGTGTGAAAAGTAAAGAGCAATCCATGGAGAGATGACTTTAGGGCACTTCAGACTTCAGTTTCAGTAGAATGAGTCCCCCCCAAAATTAATTTTGTTCTTTGCATTGACTGAAGTAGGAAATCTACACAAAAGCAGAAAATAATTATGTTCAATTTGGCTCTAGTAAAACTACATAAAGGATATTATATTCAGCTAAGTAAGAAGCTCATTGATAAACAGAAAAATATATACAGGACAGTAATCAATAATAGGAAGAACCAAGAAATCATGAAGATGTTTCTCATCAGTCTTCAAATGATAAAAAGTTAAATTGATATGTATTATTGTTACTACTGCAAAGACTAGCATTTAAAGTTACTATGTATCAAATACAGTACTGAACACTTTTTCCCATGAGCTATTACTTCGCTATAGCACAGAGATAGATATTAGTGTCTCCATTTTACAGTCATCTGTTCAATTTCACATTATCAGTGTTAGCAGAGGTAGGATTGGAACACATTTCCTGGTTCCAAATCCCAAAGCCAAGGCTGCTATGATCTACTGTTTGGATCTAGAAAGGAGAGACAGGACATGCTGGAAAATATTAGAGGACAAATATTTCAGTTCAAGATAGTTCAGAGCAGGGTGGCTTCTTATTCATCTATTTATTTTCTGGATCTAGCAGAATACCTGAAACTTGATAGTTACTTAATAAATACTTGTGGGGCCATAATAAAGAATGTTTTAAAGTTTATTGAACAGGAGTTGCTATTGTTATAGTGAATGCCCTATTATCAGAGCTGACCAAATATTTTAGAAGAGACTGGATTCCCAGTCATTCAGTAGGAATGTTATAGATGAGATGGAAATATAAGTGTCGAAGTTAAAATAAAAGCACTCAAACCCTGAAATTCAAGTTTCTAATGTATTTGTTTCAAATATTTGTTTAAATTTTGAAAGTAAACTGTATATATTGGCTTATTTAAATAACCCCTGTTCATTAAGAAACAAATAGATCATTAGATCACTGGGAACAAATAGATCACTGGGAAAAAAATTTCAAAAAGGGTGATGATATCAGATTAGGCCTAGCATTGAAGTATATTTTAATATATTTTTAAAAGTGTCATCATCATGTAAAGGTGTTTTACCCACTCACTTACTGATGGGCACTTGGACTGCTACCACACCTTGATGATTATAAATAACATTACAATGAATGAACTCAGGGGCACTTATGTTCCTTTGAATTAGTATTTTGGGCTCCTTTGGATATATTCCCAGAAGTGGGAAGGCAGACCCATTTTTAATTTTTTTGAGGTATCTCCATACTGCTTTCCCTAGTGGCTGCACTGAATGGAATACAACTTGGCCATAAAAGAGTAGAAAATTTTACCCTTTGTGACAGTATGGATGGACCTGGAGAACATTAAGCTAAATGCAATAAGCCAGGTAGAGAAAGACAAATACCATGTGATTTTTGCTTATATGTGGAATCTAATAAACAAACTGAACAAAGACGCAAAATAGAGACAGACTCATAGATGGAGAGCAGGAGGACAGCTAAAGTGTAGGGAAGGTAGGGGTAGAGGGATTGTGCAAAAAGGAAAATGGACTCATGGACATGGACAACAGTGTGGGGATTGCAGGGAGTGATAAAAAGGGACTAAATGGTAATGGGAAAAATACAATAAAATTTTTTTAAAAACGTTTCATCATCATTATATATGTACATGGCTTTAAAAAAAGTGATAAAAGATTTACAGTGAAAATCCCTGTCCATTCCTTCTACCATTAACCACTTGTTTTCATTTCTTATGGTGTTTATTTCTAAAATCACTAAATAATATTATACTTTCTGTTAAGACTCACTTATGTTAGACATTATCCATTGACTTTTTATCAGAGTGAAGAGTTAGATTACACCAACAGATACATATACATCTTCCTGAGCTGTTCTTATTTGATCACTTTTATAACTTAAATTAATATACCTATTATTCTATAGGTATGTGAAACATAAAATAGTGCCCCAAGAGTGTGGTGGATAACCTCTCAGATGGTCCCCATTACCCCTACCTCTTGTTGTTTACAGTCCTTTCTTCTTGAACAGATTGGGACCTATGATTTGCATCTAACTAACAAAAGAAGGCAAAAATGATGGCATTTCACCCCCGTGACTGCATTACATTATACAGAGTCTCCTTGCAGGCTTGAGGAAGTGAATGGCCATGTGAAAAAACTGTGCGAGACCTCTACGAGCTAGAGTTAAGGTATTCTCCTTCCAAGAGCCAGCAAGACACCACACTCTCAATTCTATAGCCAAAAAAGAAATGAAATCTGCCAAAAAAGTCTGAGTGAGGCTGTAAGAGGATTCTTCCCTACTCAAGTCTGTAGATGAGAACACAGCACACTCAGCCCTTGATGGCAGCCTTGTAAGGCCCTGCTCAGAGAACCCATCAAAGCTCTTTGGACTCCTGACCCACAGAAACTGTGAGACGATAAATGTGAGTGGTTTTAAGCTTGTGACAAATTGTTGTACAATAATGGACAACTACTAATGAGTGAGATAACAACAATAGGCCAAAGTCTATGCAGTTCTGAGCTCAAGTGGAGACACGAAAATGAAGTACAGATATATGATTGTCACACTGTAGAGGCGGAAATAACTGGCCTTAACCCTGAATGGCTATTAAATTCTAAGTATAACCCAAGTGAGAGCTAACACCAACACTTCAAGCCGTCATGAAACTAACTTCCTTCTTGTGTGTCCTGTGGGAATATTCACTGGTCCCCATCTCTGTCCCAGGATCTCTGTCTAGTGTCTGTTCCTTATCCCAACGTGATGCCTTCTGATTATGAACCAGATGCTATTATCTCAAAAAAGATTTTTGCTTTGCCTTATAGAGTAGATGATTTTAGATGTGACAAGCCCTAGCAGACGCTTCCTATAAATGGCTATAATTAGGAATGCAGAGAGTTGGAGAGCACTGTGGAAAGCAAGGCAATGGAGTGATGCACACGGAAAGCAGTGACTGAAACTGGGAGATCATCAAAAGAGAGTGCAATGGCATGCCTGAAAACAGGAACCTCTGGAATTCCGTTTCAAAGAAGGAATTAGAAAAGTGTAAAAGAGAGAGCTAGCTTTGGTATATTTTTCAGCAGTCATTGTATCTGGCTGCTGGAAAATATACCAAAAAATTTGGCCACCAAAAAATTTGGCCACCAAAAAAATTTGGCCACCAAATTTTGCAAAGTCACGTATATGAAAGTGGAGGAAGTATTAGGGAGCAAATAGTTACGTCAGAAGCTGGGAGAAAGGGGGACAGAGGGATGGATTGGGAGGAAACAGGAAGATAAGGAGGGTTAAAAAATATGTAACTACTTATTTGACACTTAGGAGGTCATTGGTGACTTCTAACCAGATTCCAAGGATGAAAGAATTCTTGAGACAGGGCAAGAAGGATGCGCTTTGAGAAGCTTAAGAGTGAACACAGGGTACCTGACTGGATAACAAAACAAGACTGTTGCATAGGCTGTCTGCAAGAGACTCACTTCAGACTGAAAAGAAAAAGATAGGAAAAGCTATTTTATAAAAATGGAAACGAAAAATAAAAAAGCTGGGGTGGTAATACTAACGCTAGACAAAATAGACTTAAAATAAGAGACAAAGAAAGACTCAGCAATTCACTTTTGCGTATATATCTGAAGGAACCCAGGACACCGAATCAAAAAAGACACAGTATCCATATGTTCACTGCAGCATTATTTACAATAAGCGAGATATAAAAGCAGCTTAAGTGTCTGTCCATCAATAAATGATGGGATAAAGAAGAAATGCTGCACGTATACAATGGAATATGACTCAGCCATAAAAAAGAAATCTCGCCATTTGCAACAACATGGATGGACCTAGAAGGTAGTGTGCTGAATAAAACACGTCGGACAGAGAAAGAAAAATACCATATAATTTCACTTATTTGTAGAATCTAAAAACCAAAATAAACAAACAAGCAGATCAGAAGCAGACTCAGATAAAGAGAACATTTCGATGGTTGCCCCATGGGAGGGGGTTGGGGAAATTGGTGAAAAGGTGAAGGGATTAGGAAGTACAGGTTGGTAGTTAGAGAATAGTTATGGAGATATAAAGTTTAGCATAGAGAATATAGTTAATAATATTGTAATAACTGTATAATGTGAGATGTGTGCTAGATTTATTGGGATGATAATTTCATAAGTTATATAAATGTTTAATCACTGGATTGTATACCTGAAACTAATATAATATTGTAAATCTACTGTAATTGAAAAATAAAAATATATTTTAAAAAAGAGTGAATGGAAGCATAGAGTCTTTAACCTAATAAAGCTCCCAAGGTCAACGAAAAGGATAATAAATGAATACATTAAGCCAGAGGTTTTATCTGTTATCCCATGTATTTCTCACCTGATAAGGTGGGTATATATGCCCCGCTTTAAAAAATGAGGGCATAAAGTCTCCAAAAGTTTATTTGTCCAAGTTCATAGACCTAGAACAGTGCAGAGCCAAGGCTAGACCATGATCTATTTGAATTTGGCGTCTCAGTCATATCTGTCTCCCCACATGAACCATCTGCAAGGTGAGCCCAAGCACCAGTAATAGGCCTGATCTAATTTAAAAAGATACCATCACAAAAAATAAATGTCTCATTTTATCAAGAGAGGATAAGGAAGCTACTACTGAGTGCCAGCCAAGGTGAACAGTCCAATGTCAGAATTAATCACATCAGAAATTGCCAGTTATAAAAAGTCATAGGGGTGTAAAGTACAGCACAGAGAATACAGTCAATTATTTTGTAATAACTAAGAATGGTGTGTCAGATGGGTACTAGACTTCCAGGAGCAATAGGGACTCTTATAATCTCTGCTTAGAGAAAAGGAATCCAAAGTTCAGAGATGCCAGGCCAACTTTCCTGAGGTTACATCATCAGTAAAGGCAAGACCAAGCTTCACACCCACGCCCTCTGCCTCTCAGGTCCGTGCCCTCACCCTCCCTGCTGTACAGCCCAGCTAGCGACCAAACCCAGGTTTGTATAGGTCCAATGCTTTTGTTCTCTCGACTGTGTCACAGGGGTTGCAGATCATACAGACAGAAGCAGAATTACAAAGAAGCTTCTCCAGAACCTCTTTGCTTCAAGAGAAAAACAAGTGTAACTGGTCATTCAACAGATGTCATTAGTAGGAGACCTGGCACTTGAGTCCCCCAAAAGCTAGTATCTAAGTTAAGACCTTCTCAGCAGGAGTAAAGGGTTTAAGTGTTTGCCCTTTCCCTGAGTATCAGAGAAATCATAACTCTGTATCTTTTCACCAAAGAAAGGAGTCAATGTAAGATTAGAATGTAACCCGAGTCTGGAGATGGTGAACACCTTGGAGTAGTAAATCCTGAATGACCAGATGGCGCTGAGCACCTGGCATTCAAATAGATGCCAGAAATAGAGGAAGGCTGGAATTAGAAATAGAGTGAATACATGTGGGAAAAATAAATGTGCTCAATTAGAAGAAGCAGTGATTTTGAACCCAAATAGTGGGAGCCAAATGCTAAATAACCACTGGAGGGTTCCTCCAAGCTAGTCCTCGAGCTGACCTCACTCGTCCTAAGTTTGAGGACAGCTATTGTTTGTGTGCCCAGGAAGCAGCCAATATCTGGATTTGACAAGTCTGAAGGCCCAGAGATCCTCACAAGTGAAGAGCTGACTGGGTCGGGTGAATAAAAACTGTGAAGTGGAATCAGTGTTGTGTCGCTTCCTAACAAAAACAATGGGGAAAGAATAAGACTTCCAGTGTGAATAAAAGCAAAAATATTGTCCTCTAATTTTACATCTATAAAATGATTTAATTTCTTTTACTTACTTGATTTCTTTAATAAAATGTACTTTGTTTTTATAAGAGGCAGCTCTGGGAAATTTACCTTCCTAAAACTAAACAGACATAATCATCTGTCAACAACAGCTACTGTAAAATTACAGTACCTTTTACTGGCAACTGTTCCAGTTGCAAACACAGCCTTAAAAGGATTATTTAAATCATAAAGGAGTTTCCAAATAATTCATTAACTGAATTACCATAATAACATTCACCTTTTTTCCTGCTTAATTGCTCATTTAACATTTTTCATATGCTGAAAAAGAACATAGCATTTAACTAATAATATAAGTCTCAGAATGAAATATGATCCAGCTGTATTATCAACATGGCCCAAATTTACTTCACATTCTACTCCAAAACTTGTGAAGTATTTTGTTTGAGTGCTAGAAAATCTTCCAAGTTCTCAGTGTCAGAGGGAAGCAGAATGGGCTCAACAACATGTAAAATAAAACTTCACTACCTCATTTTTTCCCGTGAGCAAAGTATTTTCCAAAATTATTCCTGTCTCTGAAACTAGCACTTTCACTCGGTATTGACTAATGATTCCATTTGGTTGTCGTGGTTTCTTCCAAGTAATTCTTATGTATGTGGCTTCTACTTCTGCCAGCTGTAAATCAAATACTGCACCTGGAACTAAAAATAAAAATAAGGTGTGGGAAATTTTAAAATACATTCTCAGATTAGAAAACATTTTCAAAATTCTTAACTCATGATTTAAGATTTGTAAGAAATTTGCCCTGGCTGGTGTGGCTCAGTGGACTGAATGCTGGACTGCAAACTAAAGGGTCACTGGTTCAATTCCTGGTCAGGGCACATGCCTGGGTTGCAGATTAGGTCCCTAGTAGGGGGTGCATGAGAGGCAACCACACATTGATGTTTCTCTCTCTCTCTTTCTTCCTCCCTTCCCCACTCTCTAAAAATATATAAAATTGTAAAAAAAAAATTGTGAGAAATTCTGCTAGAAAACTGACTAAAATAATTTACTAATTTATTAATAATTAAATACATATAAGACTCTCTAAATACATGGATATTTAAATTTCTACACATTGTTCTCAGAAATGAAAATGACAAATAAGATAAGTTGGAATAATTTCCCTAAATCAAAATGACATAACATTTGTTTGAACAACTTTATTAGTAAAAATTACTTCCCAGAGGAAGTTGTTTCTGGATGATTAATGCACAATAGAAACCTTGAAGGCTTTACAAAACTCTAACAACATATCAAAAAACAACATCTAGAAGACTTGGAATACAATGAAATGTAGCTGGTAAATTCAATTAGGCTATATTTTAATTTATTACATGAAATTGTTTGAAAATTTGATTGACTTTTATCTGCGGATTTTACAAATTAATTACATAGTCTCAAATTTCAGGGACCCTTACTCCTTGCAGTAAAGAAAAACAGGACAGCCCTGGCTGGTGTGACTCAGTGGACTGAGCACTGGCATGTGAACCAAAGGGTCAGGAGTTCTATTCCCAATCAGAGCACATGCCTGGGTTGCAGGCCAGGTCCCCAGGAGGGGGTGCACGAGAGGAGCCACACATTGATGTTTTTCCCCCTCTCTTTCTCTCTTCCTTCCCCTTTCTAAAAATAAATAAATAAAATCTTTTTAAAAAAGAATAAAAACAGGGACAAACTAACAATTGGTTTAAGACAAGGCACCAAAAACTTAAATTCTGGGTAAAAAGTCACCAAGAGTGACATCTGGGAAACCACCCAGTGCCAAAGGAGTAATGGATTGAGGGTAAATATGTGCTGGGCTTTTGTCCACTTTTTGTTTATAATCCAATATGTGATTATGAATAGCCAGCTCACCGCTCTTTCCTTATCTATAAAATGGGTGTAATTACATCATTCCTATTGTTATGCAAGATTTATATAAGAACAAAGAATTCAAGAGACTTTATAAATGTTAGTTCAAGAAAAAAACCATGACATAAAAATATTGTCCCTTATAATTAGGATGTGGTAACACATTAAATTCATTTTCCTACGCTGAGATATTTCACATTAGTAAAGGTTTAGTGACTTGCACTGAAAAGACAGATACCTTGGGGGAAGGTATAATATAAATGGAAAATGACTCTATTTCCTCCTAAGATAACATAAAGGAATTGAAAATTAATGCCACAACTCCAATGAATATTATTTATAATTAGTAAACACAATTATGCTTACATTAAAGCCATGTAATAAACTGTATGGAGTTTTCATCCATTAGATTGAGTTTTCCCCTTGTCTCTATGACATAACAATTTTAAAAGCCCTCTAGATATTGTAGTAATATAAATATTTCTACATGCTTTCTGAATAGTTAATGGCTAGATGGAGGAATGGGTCAACCTGGCCAAAGAGCATATTATTTGACTATTGCAGTCAAGATTCTAGTGTCCAGGGTAGGCAAAACCTGGGCTCAAAACTGGGAGATAAACACAACATGGCTATAACACCTCTAATTTGCTTATTTTTTGAATCTGCTTTTCTAAAACATTTTGGTATATCTCTATAGGGGAGGATAACTCTTTAGACTGATTTCCCATAGGAGTTCTAATCTGAATAAAAAACAGTTTATCCTTTCAAGGATGGAGGAAGAGTTCTAGGGTAGGACCCCACAATCATGGATTCATCCATTCACCATTCAACAGAGCACTCATCATATGGTCATTTTCTAGGCACCTGAAGATGCAGGGAGAAATAAAATAGATTAAACATTTTGCGCAGGTCACCTCTTGTACAAGTTTTATTTCATTGACTGACATATATTGTCCCCAGAGCTTACGTTTCTATTATCATGTTTACCAATGCACATTTTTCAAGGGTGGAGAAGCTTTCCAATTGCCTGTGTAGTGTGAAAATAACTCAGCCATTTAATTAGCAATGCTTCCGTTGCACCTTTCTTTTACATTCTACTCTGGAGTCTCTATGCAGACAAAGCCTTAGCCAGTATTGCATAACATAATCATAGGAGACCTAGGTCACTTTTCTATTTCATTTGAACTCTTGTAGGATCTCAACTTAAGAAGCCGATTTAAAGGCTATGTTGATCAGATTAATCAGGCAATTAAACCTTGCCTCCTGGAAAATAAGGGAAATGGTCAATTCCATTTGATGTAACACATTAATGTAGTAGGATATATCAAATTACCCAGTACAGCAGAAAATAGACATTTTACTGTGTCTTAGCCAAACTTAAAAATAGTAGCAGTTTCTTTATCTTCTAATTTATGACATTTTTAAATATAACATAGTAACTATTGCCCCCAACAATAATGCCTAAAGATTATGATTCATAAAAAAATTAAGTGGTTCTATTTCACCTTAAAAATGTACCTCAAACTTGCATAAGGATGACTGTAAATGTATCCCTTTTTTTCTTATAAAAGAAGAAAAAGCTTAGGGGATAAAGGAAATGAAGCAGACAGCTTTGAATCTTGTCTTTGGAAAGATACTTGATCTGTTATACCACAAATTTTTATAATGAAACCAGAGAAGTGGGATTAGATCAAACCCCCTTAATATTGATACCAATTAACTAAAGAAAATCAAACACACAAGGCAATTATTCATAGTTCAGCATCAATTCTGAAGATGTTGTTGACAGGGACTACCTAAAACTCATTCTCAAGCTAACACATCTAGAAGTTTTACTAATAAATGAGAAACAAAGTAGACATATGATTGGTTAAAAAATATTCCATATGATTTAAAGTTTTCAAATGAAAAACTATTTGAAAAAATACAATAGAGATAAATGACACTGGTGTAAATATAATACATTAAAATAATTTTTACGATTATGGAGCAAATTAAATTTCCATTAGAAATTTACTTTGGAAAAAAAAATCTACTGAAAAATAAAAGTCATTGAGAATCCTAAAAAACACAAAGTTGACAGTCTTTCAGTTGATTTCCCTATAAAAGATTTTACTATCATTTGCAGAAGGAAGAGAGTTGAAATCACTAAAGACAAAAGACTTCACTTCTATAGCTTATTTATGGGGAAGTCAACTACGGCTTTCCAAACTTCATTTGCTTTTAAGAAATGATGTTAACTCCTTACCAGATATGTGGCACTTGTAACAGAAAAGTTATTAGGGGACATTGAAGGAGCAAAATTTACTTAAAACTTTTTAATCCACATACAAATAATAAGAAAATGCTCTTGCCTGTATTATATTCATCAGTTCTGTCTCATTTTAGAATAGATAATTCTATGACATTTTGTAATACTGGAAATTAGATTAGCAATGTTTTTCCAAAAGTCAACTTTTTTTATGCTTATGTAAAAATCTGTTTAGTAAAATATTAAGCAAATGTAGAAATCTTATGAAATACATAGAACTGCTATAACAACATGACATTGATTTTCTTTGATAACCAAAGTAGACTATGGACCATAACATTCTCAGTGCTAATGAAATCAGTCCCTTTTAATCTAATAGCAAATATTATTTTCTATGAGGTCAATTCAACATTTTTCTATGAATATCTGGAGATTTGTTAGAACCCCAGTTGCTTTAAAAGATATTAATTTAAAAGCATGTCTTAATGAATTTTTAAATATACTGTAACTTTTAAATATACTTTTGAATATGGAAAAGAAAATAAATTGAGTAATCTTAATTAGAATACAAAGAACCTTATTGTATTAATAAATGAAAAAGAATCATCTAAAATTAAGATACCAATTTTAACTGAAAGAATATAGCCCTAATGAGTTATTAGAGCATTCTCATATATTTTAAAGATTCCTATTACAAAGTTTTAATTAGTGGACAAGGATTCATTAGAGTTGTCAGAAATAGAAAGGTATGTTCACTGCATTGACAGTGTTCCAGTGAAGCCCTTCCTAAGGCTGAACTATCCCCCAAGAAATCCATGGAGGAAGGTAGCATGCAGAGCTGAGAACGATGTCATTCCTGCTCTTACTGGGGTCTACCTGTTGCCAGTGGACCTTCCTGAGAGTCAGCTGGATGTTGTCTATATGGAGAGAAGCTCAAGAAGATAGTACGATTAAACTTAGAATAAACTGCTTGATATACAGGGCAAACAGAACCATCTATTCAAAATATTTAATGTGCCAAATAACCCATGCAAAATATATTGAAAAAGGCCCTTAAAATTATGCTTACTAGGTGGGGGGTCCACAGGAATGGAATTTATTTATAAAATATTATGTATTTATTCTTACATATTCAAACTTCAGTCACCTTCAAAGTACTCTCCATTTGATGCAATACACCTATTGAGACATTTTTTCTGCTGTTCAAAACAGTTTGAACTCATCAATTCTCATGACCTTTAGTGGTTCTGTCATTTTTTGTTTCATCTCTTCCACATTGGGAAAATTTTTCATTTGAGGACTTTTTCAATCCAAGGAAACAAAAAAATGTCACTCAGGGAGAGATTGGGTGAATAGGGAGGGTGGGATATGGGAGTCAAGCCGCTTTTGGTCAAAAACTGCTGAAAACTCAGGATAATGTGTGCAGGTGTGTTTGTAAATCACCCATCATGAAATGGGCAAATGCATTGAAAGAGTCTTTAAAAAAAAATTCCCTGAATCTGAACACAGCTTCTCACAACAACGGCATCTGGTACACTGTTGCAGATGGGTTCCTCCAAGACTCATGCAGCCGGGGAAGCCTGTACTACAAGGGCCCCACCCTCCAAAAGATAGTTCTGTTTTTGGGGTGTACCCCCTCATATTGTTTTGTGAATAAAAATGCAGAAATAAAGAAAGAGAAATAAACATTTAAATAATATTCAAAGTAAGCCACATGACGTTGTATGTGACAGTGTGTTATTTACTTCTCTACATTTGTCTAATGTTGTAGGCCAAGAATGATCACAAACAATCATCTTAAACTGTGGATTCGGTTTATACGCTTGATTTGAAAGAAGACAGAGTTTTGAATTTATTTAATTGTTTAACATACAAACAGAAATCAGTCGAGCAATTAGGTTGACTGAGAAAATGCTATTGCGACCAAACTCAAGCACTCCAGTCTGTTGAGGGCCAAGCCGTTCTGCTGTGCTTGACAGTGCTCCGTAAATCTGTCTAGCTTTCTTGGGAATGCTTAAGAGCAGTTTTTAGGTGAAGACAGGGAAAAATGAAGGTCTAATGGAGAAGACATAAAACCAAGTCTCTTTTAATAGAAACACAGTGGAAAAATTTTAGTATGAAAAAATGAGAACATTTTGCTTATGGGCATGCATCTCTTTCTTAATCTGCGCATTGCAATTATATATACATTAGCGTTTTCATTTGAAAGTGATATAAAACAGATTTTTATGTTCTTTAAATACAAAATATTATCAAGGTTTAACTATTTTTTGAAGAAGTACAAAATCCCCTAATAGTTGCTGCCCTCTAATGGTCAAATGCTTGAATGGATATATTCATCTGATGAATGCATGCCAAACCTTGGTGTGTGTGTAGGCATGTTCACACATGTATGTATTTATTTCATAAGTTACTGTATGTTAGCTAGCATATAAACAATACCTATAACATTTTTGAAGTATTAATGTGATTACAAAAAATTATTGTCTTCTTTTCAGTAATTACAATCCCTAAATGTAAATGAAGACATTTAGCATGTTTGGGGTAGGCCAAAAAAATATGTTATGAAATAGGATTGTAACATTTTTTTTATCCTCACACAAGGATATGCTTATTGATTTTAGAGAGAGGGGAAGGATGGAGAGAGAGAGGGAGAGAAACATCGATACGAGAGAGAACCATCAATTTCTTGCCTCTCATACCTGCCCCACTGGGGACCAAACCCCCAACCTAGGTACATGCCCTGACTGGGAATCAAACCTGCAACCTTTTGGTTTAGAGGATGATGCCCCAACCAACTGAGCCACATCAGCCAGGGCATATTGTAACATTATTTAAACACTATATTTCACCTCAAAGTGTGATGTTTAATATATATAAATAAAATTGTTTCTCTGAAATATTGTTTTAATAACTTCAGTATATGCTTGTAAATTTGTATTACATATCTTCTAGGATTCCTTACTTGCTTAAAATATCCTTTTGATTATAAGTATATTTTGTAATAGCCATTGGGAATATATAGACACCTCTGAATGTTAGTCTGTGAAAAAAATTCTTCCTCAAATAATGTGAGTTAAAAAAAGGTTAAACGTATTTCTTTGTTTAAGATCTCTTGAGGTTTTGCCAGTATTCCCTGTGAACCTCCAGCAGGTGGTTACTTCATATAGTGTTACCTAACCTTGCTTGATCTTCAGTCCCTCTTATTATGAAGCATGCTATGTGTTTAATGTTCTGAGGAACATATGTTCAGAATGTACTAGGAAGTCATCTGGTGAGGAAATAACATGAATTAAGTAAACATAAGCCAAATAACTTCTGATATAATGTTTAACCAATGCAATAAAATTCACAAGCAGAACAAAAGCATCTCATTAACACACTAACAGAAATGTTTTTACCTTCTGGGGGAGTGAATATTGAAATATTTGATTTGGGACCAATCCCTGCACTGGTTTCAGCTGCAACGTACACATCATACATTGTAAATGGTGTTAGGTTAGTGAATGCAAACTTAAGGTCTTTTGTGCTGTTATCCAAAATCCGACCTGCAAAAAACAAAAAATACCTGTGGATTATTTTCTTATCAAGCATGTAATCATTCTCACATTTAAGTATAGAGCCAAGGACAGTAATTAAAGTGCTTACCTATGTAATGCTTATTACTACAATTTTTAAAATAAATATATTTCAAGTGTTTAGCTAAATAGTGCATTGATAGCAATTTATTTAAAACAAAGGAAAAAAACATGAAAATCTTCCAGTGTTTAAAATAACTTTTATTACATTATAAAGTCCTATTTAATTGCCATATTATTTTCGACATATTTAAGAGGAATACTCTAAATTTTACAATATAAAAACAGCAACAATATTTTGTACACAAATTTAGTCAATTAAAATGCTAAATATTTTCATTGTCATGCACAGAAAGATTTATTTAGAAAATATTTCTAATTTAGCTTCTGAGAAAAATTCCTTTAAATAGCCCAGCATCAAAATTCCTTAAATCCTCAAATATACCACTGAATAGTCCTTTCACTTTCTTGCCCTGGACGAAACCTGACTGTCCCCTAGGAAGATGCCTTCTGCTCCCTTCAGCCACCCCAACGGTGGCAGTCTATCTTTCCCCACAGCCCTTGTACAACTAGCCCTTCTGGTGTGATAAGTGTTCTCCCAGCTCCTCATTGCCTTGTCGCAGGCCATTCTAGCTCCGTCCCTGGAAAAGCTCACAGCTTTAACTCTCACGCCATAATAGTATCCACTAGCCCTCATTGTTGTAGTGATCGCCTAACCTGAGGGTCACTCACCCTTATTCTGGATGGGGTAGCTACTTCTTCAATGTCATTTTCTTCAATGCTACCATCTTAATTTGTGGTGATTTCAATATCCCAAGAGTTAATCCTTAAACCACTTCGAGCTCTTTTAAAATAATCTAGTCCTCCACTCTATCCCAGTCACTGTTTCACGGTCATAATTGGTTATCGCTATTACCAATAAAAGCAAATCCCCCACAATCTTAATTTCATTCAACTTTCCATGACCCTTCTTTCTTGTGTCCTGTTCACTTACTCTAGAACCTTCAGCCAACAATTCTTTGTGTCCCCTGGAACCTCCAGTCGACCTCTTCTATTTTATTTTGTTTGGTCTCTCACCACCTGATTTCCTTGATGTCACTGTCAGTTATAATCACTGCCTTTCATAAGCCTTCAACGCCCTTTCCCTTCTCTTGGTGAAGGGAGCTGGAGAAAACCACAAAGCCACTCTGACTGATACCACTTTATTCATCACCACATTTTAAATGAGCCCTTAATGGTGTCTAGCACCTTACAACTTAGTTGAATCACCCTCTACTCTTCTAGATGATTATTTTATATGCTCTATTTTCTCCCCAGACTTCAAAAACCTTTCTGCTCCATCCTCACTCCTAGTTGATAGTCTTGCTTCTCATTCCATTGAAAAAAAAAATGAAGTCAATCAGAAAAAACCTGCCATAGACTCCCACCAACAAAATTAACTGTCTACCAGCCTCTGTACCCAAATACTCTGCCTCAGAGTCTTTACTATAGACAAACCATCTATGTTCTTATCTCAAACCGATCCCTACATTTAAGCAAAAGATCTCAGCTTCTGCCTAACAAAGACAACTTCCCAGTAACTCTTGCCTTTCTTATATCCTTCTCACTCAGGCACTTACCCACAGGCTTTATCAAAACTGCTCATCAAGATCATTAATGACTTCCATGTTGTTAAATGTTAATAGTTACTAAATACATCCTACTTAATTTATCAGCCTTATAGATAAAATATTGCATTGTCAATATTTTGCAAAATAATAACAAAAATTTTTTAAAGGTGTTTCTGTGTATATGGGGAAGGGGCGAGGGTTGGGAGGAGAATAAAAGACTACAGTTTTTTAAAGGACTGCAAACATTGCCATTATTTCAGAATGTTAGGAGCATAGGTACTTGGATGAAAAATGAAAGTTACTTATTGATTCATGAGATTCATAAAGATTTCAAAATGAGTAATTTGTAACTATTTTTTTCATTCTTCCAAGTAAATGATAACATGTGAGTTTATGTTATCATTTTTATTTCATTTTATTTATGTTATCATTATGTTATTTCATTATTATTTGAATTCAACTTCTTTTGTTGGACCATGAGATCTCAGATTAGGAAACAATTTGATTTTACTTAATTAACTGCCAATAACATATAACATTTGAGGGATTTGAATCCCTCAAAATATCTCTAACATGTGGATGCCCATTTCTACTTGTTCACAAAGGTGGAGAACTTGATATCTCATAAAGTTGCCTATATTATTTTGAGAGAATTCTAATTTTTAGAAATGGCTTCCTTATTCTAAGCAGAAATCTAATTTAGTATAGCCTAAATCCATTACTCTTCATAAATATATTTGTAATCAGAGTAAGTCCAGGTCCCTTGTTCAAATGTTTGAAGACATATGCCTCCTCTAACACTTCTCTTTTGGATGGGTCCTCTCTAGTTCTTTCAGCTCTTCCTCATCAAATATGGAATATGCGTTGTGTTTTGCTATACTTCTATTTATTTAGTACAACAAATAAGAAGTTCAAAGAACCTCACCTTCTTTATTACTCTTCAATTATTTGCTCCTATTACAGGGTCATTTAAAAGGAGTTTGAAACTTCAAAAATTTAATACCGGTAACACATTTTATATAATTCTTTTTCCAAAAGGTAAACACAAAGCCAATTAAGACTTACCTGATGGCCCATATAATTCAACTCTGTAACTAAATTTCCCAGTTACTATAGGTGGTGGGTCACATGAAACTGAGAAGGACCTTCCTGTGATGTTGCCTGTTACACAGTTTTGTGGTGGTCCTTCAGGCACTAAAATGATCATAGGGGAAAAATGAATAAATAGCAGGTATGTATGTTTAAAATTTAAAATTACCTTATCTGATATACATAATAGAACAAAGTCAGAAACAAAAGAAAATATCACAATACTAGCAAAGGGTTTTCTCAACTTAAAAGGATTAAGTTGAAGGATTTGAATAAAACATGCTGGATCATTAGATTAACTTATTTGCAACAATTACTGGTTTTATTTAATGCTACATAGAAGTTTCATTTCTATATAGTTTAATGTAGAGTAACAGTGTTCTGAAACATTTATATGTACATATATCTTGCATTCAGCAAGGCCTGGGTACCTGGCTTGATAAACACTCCCCGGGGGACACAGGTAAAAAGGGTCAACTCAGCCTTCAGAATCTATTGGCAATGATCTTTACTTTTCATATCAATATTTTTTGTATTTGGTTCTGAGAAGAAATTTATAACGTATGGTTAAAAGATTCTAATGTAACATTGGTAACATAAAAATAATAATGATAATTCAAAATAGTCTATTTTTCATAGATGTGTTTCTACATTTTACCCTTTTATTTATTTTTTTAGATTAGTCAACTTTTTATTTTTCCATGTATAAACATTAAATAAAAATGTTAAAAACCTATCATTTCCTACCATTGTTTCATAAAAGGAATAATATTTTAATATAAAATAGGATGACAACAACCTCATGAAGGGACTGTCCTTTAAATTTTAAAAAAACATAGTTTTATAAAAATGCATTTTGCAATTATTTTTTCAGTTTTGCCTTAGGCCAGTGAAGATTATGCCACAGACTTCAGATTGGGAACTACTGGAAGAAAAGATGGTCTAATGTCCTTTTTATTCAGACTTAAAGTTCCCAAGAAAGTTTCAATTGTACTGATGATTAAAAACTAACAACATCTCTGTAACAATTTTCTGAGAATAATGTGGCCATTTTTGTATTTGAAGAGAACTACATATCAGCTGAGATGAAGTCTAGGTTTTTATCTGCAAATTAATGGAAAGAATGGAAATAATTAGGACATGTACTCATCGCCAAATGTCATTAGAACTATTTGTATTTATTCAAAGCTATAACCCAAATGCCCTTGAAGTGCTCCTGTTAAAAAGGCCCTGATAAATATATTTTTTAAAATTATCTAACTGGTTTGGACAAATTGTTTCAATTATCAATTTCACTTTGAAATGCACATAGATCTACATTTCCACTGGAAGTTTTAAGTCATAAAGAATTTACCCTTTTAAAACTTATTATTATGTCATTTAAAACTATGAAAATAGTGTGGAGTTCCCATATACCCTTCACCTGCCTTCCCTTAATGTTAACCTCTTACATAACCACAGCAGAGTTATCAAAACTAAGAAATTAACCTTGGTACAATTTTATTAACTAAGCTTCAGACTTTATTCAGATTTTATCAGTTTTTTTATTAATGTCCTTTTTCTTTTCAAGGATCTAATCCAGGATCTTGTAATACACTTAAGTTATTCTCCTTAGTTTCTACCACCTGTGATAGTTCCTTAACCTTTCCTTGTCTTTCATGACCTTGAGACTTTTGAAGTGTACTAGTCAATTATCTGCAAAATGTCCCTACATTTTTTCAGTTTTACTGAGATATGATTGACATACAGAACTGTATAAGTTAAGGTATGTACAACAAGGACTGGACTTATATTGTGAAATGATTACCATAACAAGTTTAGTTAACAAACATAACTTTCAGTAGCAGCACAGTTTACAATAGCCAAGTGTTGGAAGCAACCTAAATGCCCATCAGTAGATGATTGGATCAAAAAATTATGGTACATTTACACAATGGAATACTACGCAGCAGACAGGAGAAAAGAACTACTATACTTCTTGACAGCATGGATGGAACTAGTGAGCATTATGCTAAGCAAAATAAGCCAGGGGGCAAAAAGACAAATACCATATGATCTCACCTATAAGCAGAACCTAACCAACAATACAAAGATGCAAGGAAAATAAGACCAGCAACACTGAAAGGAAAAGAAACCAACAGAGACAACAGGGGAGGAGGGAGGGGGTGCGGGGGGAAAAGGAAGGGAAGGGGCAAGTCAAGGAACATATAACAAGGACTCATGGACAAAACCAAAGTGGAGAAGGATTGGGGGAGGAGGGGGGCAGGGGAAAGTGGTGGGGGGAAGGCAGAGAAAACTGTACTTGAAAAAAATAAATTAAAAAAAAAGGACCAACATCGACAGTTAAGATGACATACTGATATCGTATACCCCTTAATGGGATGCACTGAGAAGGGCATAGCATCATCCTTGTGGTATTGTCCCCAATAATGCATAACATCAATTTAAGCATAAAAAGCAAAAACAGCCTGAAACTGAAGGTTACACTTTACCCTTTTAACTGAAATTAAGCAATTCAAATATTTGTCAAAGTAAATTTCTTGTCTGCCAAATCTCACTTTGTGTGACCCTAACAAAATTTTTTATTGTATAAGAAGGATAAGAAGGAAGTGTTATGATCCAACATGGTAATTTAAATCAAGATAAAACTTAAAATTTACATGTAATGAAATGATAAAATCTAACAACTAATGCCAACAGAAAAAAGTACGATGCTTTAGTGAAATTACCCTAGCAGTAATAATTTCTAGTAACCTCAAGTATTACCAATCACAGCTGAATGTCTGATACTACATATTTAGTATGGTATTACATCAATATCTACATACATTTACATATGTATACATAATACCATAAGTAAATACATTCTCATACCTAGAAATAGTATATGGTTTCGAATTTAGCAGTAATAATATCTAACTATATTCATTTAATCCTAACACCACCACCATAAGGAACAAAACTATTACAGTCTCTGTTTTTCACATGAGGAAACTGCAGGGCAAAGACAAGACTAATGGGTATATTTTTTAACTACTGTTTTAATCTGATACTGAAAAGTTAATCACATGATATTTTTGCTACTGCAGGTGTTATTCTCACATTTGCTAATAGCACTATCGGGGAGAGGAGGATATAGATGATTATAGAAGTTTTAGAAGGGAAGAGATGATTATGAAAAATTGCTGAGATCACAGAACAATAAGAACCGATCTTAGAATCACACTTAATTAGCTCAATAATTCTTTCTTTCAAATCTTTCTCCTTTTAGATGCTCATGTTATAAAAGAGAAGTGAAATTGAAGCTGCTCCAGGTGGGGTGCCTATTATCTGTTATTAGAGAAAAAAAGCTATTGAAAGGGAAGAAATATTTTAACAAAAATATGTGTACCAAAGAAAATGAAAGACCATTCTATAAATAATTTAACTTTTTTTTCCCTACACACACACACACACACACACAAAAGGAAACCATACCTGATTCTGGTGTTCTGACAATTGTACTATCAATATAACCCGCTTCCGTTGTAACAGCAGAAACTTCAAAAAGATATGTCGTATAAGGTCTCAAATGTGTCACTACAAAACTGATAGGCTCTTTCCATACGGAGCTTATCTTACTTCGTGCCAAGGGGCTCGATGAATATGTGGTGCGTGACGGAGGTGTGCCTCTGCTGAGAGTCGGAGTAGGGCTGGTTGTACTCCATAAAAAAGATTCATTACTCTCCTAGCGAATAAAATAAATACCAATGGAAAAAATGCGTTATCTCTTTGCAGACATGAGAAGTTATTTCTTTTTCCTTTATACTATAAATATTATTCTTAAATTTATGGTATGTGTATGACTGGTTAAGATCTTTTTAAATTAACCCACTTGAGTTATGGAAAAATTTGCTAGAATTATACCCATTTATGGCTACAGTTTTACAGTATAATACATATCTTGCATTCTTTATACCTTAATCTTTCTTATGACTAGGATTTCAAGTGGCTTAGAATAAAGGTAAAACTATACCAAAATCATTAGAATTTTAAAAATTCATGTTAAAAGTACAAGATCTAAAGATATGACATATTTCCCTGTTTGTGAAATTTCAAGCATAGGTTACCTTCTTATTGTTACTGTCATTATTTTTTCGTAAGTACTCAAAAGATAAAGCACATGTTGTCTATGTGAGTGTGTGTACCATGTATATTAGAAATATGTCCTAATTTTTAAAAGATTTGGAAATTTGTAAAACTTTGAATATTTAAAACAAACAATTTTGTTTGTTTCTCTATTACTGTTATCATGAAGACCAACAAACTTATTTTTGGAAGAGCATTATTACAGTGCTTCTAGGGGTTTCCCATTAATAACTAGAGTAATAACAAATTCTTCACCAACAAAAAAAACTACTTCCGCAAATTTACAAAAAATGCACAACAAAAAAAATCTACTTCCACAAATTTAACCTTGATCATTCTCCTCCCCTCCTCTCCTGTCACATCTTTTTCTAGTGATAGCCTACATTTTCCTACTTCAGAGCTTTAGAAGGATCCTTCACCCAAAATGTGCCCCTCAGACAACCTTCACCTGTCCTTCCTCTGTCCAAGGACCATCGCAAATGCTACCCCCATCATGAAGTCTTTGCAGAGCTCCCTAAGCGACTCTGGTATCTTACTCTTGAATTCTCAAACCTTTCTCTTATTCTACCTTGAATATGGCCAATTGCGTGTAACATGATACTATAACCCAGTACTAAAAGTAATCAAATAGCTATACTTTAGCAAAATAAATAGTATCTAGATGCTGAAAACTTCAGGATATAAGTTTACTTAAAATTCCCGAGACTTAGAAAATGTTCCATGGTACTCACAGTGCATTCTGGCAATTTCCCTGTTAAAATGTCCTCCACTCGGATTGAGACATCTTTCACCACTATCCCACTTCTGGCGTGTTTGACACTAATTTTGAAACTGGTAATTTTGCCATTTGGTTGCCGAGGTAAATACCAAATCAGGTTTACTGCTGAATAGTTAAAGGCCTCGACTGTGAGATTCACCACTTTTCCTGGAGCTGGGGAAGTAAGAGAGATGAAAAGGGAGGGACACAATGGAATTGTGTATTCAAATTATAAAAATTAGAATGCCATTTATATAATTTTGGGACATTACTTTTCCCATGTTATATGAAATTAAATATAAAACACATTGGAAAAATATATTCGGGTAAGATGTTTTGCAATATATTTAATTAACTGTTGACTAAAATAAAGAACAAGAAATTAGGCCCATAGAGTTGTGTTTAAGAAGAAAATAAGCTTTACTTCAGGATTATTTAATCAACGCACCCATTGATTAACTATTTTAAATATGTCTGAAAATTCAATTAATAGTTTTTTGTGAATATACAAAAAAACTAAAAAATGAATCTCTTCTTGAAATATTTTGGGATTATATAAATTCCTTAGATAATGAAGAACTAGAAAATTGAAACAAATATCCAACCATTTGCACTAAAAAGCATTGCTGGAATATATTTAACAATCTGGTGTCTAACATAATATGAATACCACCCAACTAGATGTGGTTATTACATTTTGAGTTTCATACATCCTCAAAATTAACTTTCATCAAAATTCATGATATTTTGTTATCAGTTATTAATAGTCTGCAATAATAATCATCTGTATTCTTTCTTAATTAGGATGAGACAAATAAGGATAGAAGGAAAGAATATTATGCCCATTAATTTCAAAGCAAATGATGCAAAACTGACAAATAGAGTAAATAATCAAGATCTTTTAGTGTATTGAACAAACATGACAAGTCACTCTTGAAAGAAATAAAAACAAAACAAGACATCTGGGGTAAAATATTATAAGTAATAGTACAGATACAAAATAATAGAATTTAGATGTGCATCGCAGAAAAGACTGCTAAAATATGATTTGTAAATAAAAGCCAAATAAATTATAAGAAAGTTTGGGCTTGGGAGAGAGGACTTAATGTGAATATGACTTAAACAGTAGAAACTAAGAAACTTAAGGAGAGTTGCATTTTAACAGAAAACAAAATAAATCAATTTGGGGGAATGATTAATCATTAATAACGGGTGAAATAATGGAATTTTTTCCTCCATGGGAAATTGGTCAATGGAATTAATTAAAGCTTAAGGAAAATAATGATATAATTATTCTCTGATACTAAAGATTTAATATTTGCATTTTGGGGGGTATATAAAATATAATAATGTAAAAGGAAAAAGGTTGTTAAATGTATGATGCTATGGATTTATATGAATTAAAATGTATGATCTCTTTAAAAATTGAATATATCTGACAGATAACATTGTGTAAATTTAAGGTGTATATTTTGTTAATTTGATATATTTATACATTGTATTATGATTGCCAGTCAGTGATAGTTGGCACCTCTGTCACATTTCATAATTATATTATAGTACCACATTATTATCTATATTCATTATACTGTACATGAGATCTTTATGGCTTATTTACTACCCATTGCAACTGTGTACTTTAAGCATCAATCTTATTCCCACACCCTCAAGTCCCCTAACTACCATTTTACTCTCTCCATGAATCTTAATCATCCTTTTAAATTTCTTATTTGTGTAAACTATACCAATTTTTTAAGTATGCCTGATATAGATTTTAATAACAAATTACAAATTTTATAAGTATGCCATATGTATCTCAATAACAAATTAACAAATGTGTTAGCCAAGCTGACACATTTCCAAATGTGCCTCAACAATAATCATAGGGAACTACTTGAATGTAGACAAATTTGAATTTATAAGATAACTAAATTTTTATTAAATTCCAAAGCATGATATCAGAATATTAATAAAAGTAGACCCAAAACATTAGATTTTTAAAATTAATTACATAATTACATAACTTTAACATTTAGTGACAAAAAGGATATTTTTATTAGCCTACTTTAAATTAATTTTGTCTCAGTAAAATGTATGTATGTTTTTCTTTTGTGACTTTACGGTGTCTAAAGACTAATTCTGGCTTTTTCGGTTGGTAGGTCTTTTTCTTATTTAAATATTCTAGTTTCTACTTCTACTTCTGGACATTTGTGCATCAAATCCCGCTATCTTGATTTTTATAGGTGAATTTATCCATCTTGATCTAAAAGATTTGATACTAAAGTACCAAAAAATTCTGTTTACAAAGTTATTTCATCTTTCAGATAAGCATCTTCCAACACTTTGACAATATATCTAGACTAGTGACATACATAAATATACACGTGTGTGAAAATACCTATAACTTGTGTACACTATACCAAACATACATTTATTGTTTCAGAAAACTACTGTATAAATTGAATACAGAAAATTTTAAAAATATTTTCCTGCATTTCTAAGGATCCACTAAGTTGAGAATGAAGGTGCAAGAGATATTTTTAATATTGTAAAGCCAAATAAATTCTTTGTTTACAGGAAATAGTGCTGCCCAGAAGTTAAGTAGTTGAGCTATGATGCTAATGAATGGAATATTAGCTCAGTATAGTATAGCTGGTTACCTTGTACACTCTCCTTCATAGTATTTTTATTCATGGGGAAAGAAATTACTCCTGATTAAACAACAATAAATGCACAGAAATTTTCCTTAAGTTTGGGTTCTATATAGCATCAATAATAAAAGGGCTATTAGGGGAACAAATTGGAGAACACTGATATAATTAAATTTAGACTTATATTACATTTTATACCTCTTTACATTTTCAAAAAAAAAAAGGAAAGATGTAGCAAGAAGAATTATATCATTATGTGCTTTGCCCAAGGCCACACAGCAAATGAGAAACACTGAGACACCTATCCAAGGTTATTTTCACTAAACCTTTCTCTAGTTTCTCTCAGTCATAATTTCCAAGAGAGTTAGTATCTCTAGAAAGTGTGTCAATTAGCAGAAGTATGTAGTATATAACATTCAAAAAAAAAGATCAGTGTGGCTGGAGTACATGGAGGAAAGAAGGATGTAAGAGATGAAGTCTGAGAGAGGAAAGAGCATACAGAGCACTGTGGGGGATGGGAAGGTCTTTGGGTCTTATTCTAAATGATATAGAAGCCATATTAGGAAGAGAGAAGTAATAGGGTCTGGCTTATGTTTCAAAAGATGACATAGCTCTTATAAAGAGAGGAGACTATAGGCATGCAAATTGAAAACAAGAAAACCAGTAAGACAACGTTCAACTGTTCAGGCAAGAAATAATAACAGGTTAATTAGCAAGAGGGGTGGGATTCAAGATGGATTTTTACATAGTGCTAGCAGGATTTGCTGAGTATTCTGTGAGAGTCATGATGGCTTCAAGAGACCTCTGGTCAAGAAGGCGGCATAGGCAGACATGGCTTGCCTCTTCACACAACCACAGAAAAATTACAACTAAAATATAGAACAACCATTGCTCAGAACATACAGAAATTGAGTTGAATAGAAGTCTGACAACTATGTAATTAAAGAAACCACATGCATCCAGACTGGTAGGAGGGGCAGAGATGTGGAACAGACTGGTCCCACATCCACGTGTGGTAGATAAAAATTTGGGAGGGCTGTCTTGGGAGTGAGAAGTCCCAGCCCCACACCAGACCCCTTGGCCCAGGATTCCAGTGCCAGGAAGATAATCCCCCACAACTTCTGGCTGCAAAACCCAGTGGGGATTGAGTCAGTGGAAGGGACTTCTGGAACCCCAAGCAGTCCCTTTTAAAGAACTCACATGTGGACTCACCTACTCAGACTCATTCCCCCTGGACTCAGGCACCAGGGAGGCAGTTTGACAGGCACCAGTGGAATGCAGGGGGAGACTGAGGTGTCTGGCACCAAGGCAAGCAGGGGCCATTGTCCCTTTTCTGCCCACCCCCAACACACAGATCCAGCAGACAGGTACCATATCTAAGATTTCATCAACCTGGCTAACACTGTTTGGTTTGCCTTGGAGACCCCCAGAGACTCCACCTGACCTAACTTATAGGCCCACTCAAACTGTTTTTCCATATGAACAAACAAGCAACACCTGGCCTCAGTAGGCCCCAGGCCCAGAACTAGCAGCCTGTATTCACAACTTGGCTTTGCCTGGAAATCTCCAGGCTAAGCACAAGTAGCAGCCATCGCAGATTGCTTTATAATTCAGGCAGGGTGGCCTCGAGGAAAATACAGGTGGGAGCTGATCTTGGCCTGCACCACCTAGGAAACCCCAGAACCTACGCACCCAGTGGACAGCTACAGACCACATTGGAGCACCACCACCCTGCCCCTGTACAGCTGATCCTCCACAGAGGGCAAAGGTTGGTGGTTAAGTGGTCACAGCCAATCCTTGAAGCTAAACAAGCTTCAACAAGGCTGCCAAAACAAGGAGACAAAGAAACACGGCCCAAGTGAAAGGGTAAATCAAAACTCCAGAAAAAGATCTAAACAAAATGGAGATAAGAAATCTGTCAAATGCAAAGTTCAAAACATTGGTTATAAGGATGCTCAAAGAAATTAGTGAGGACCTCAACAGCATAAAAAAGATCTAATCAGGAAGAAAGGATACACTAATTGAAATGAAGAATGATTTATAGGGAAACAATAGTAGAATGGATGAAGCTGAGAATCAAATCAATGATTTAGAACATAAAGAAGCAAAAAACAACCTATCAGAACAAGAAGAAAAAAGAAACTAGGATAGTGTAAGCAGCCTGTGGGAAACTTCACACAACCCAACATTTGCTTCATAGAGGTGCCAGAAGGAAAAGAGAAAGGACAAGAAATTGAAAATCTATTTGAAAAAACAATGAAAGAAAACTTTCCTAATTTGATGAAGGAAATAGGCATGCAAGTCCAGGAGGCACAGAGAGTCCCAAACAAGATGGATGCAAAAAGGCCCACTCCAAGACACATTATAATTAAAATGCCAAAGGTTAAAGATAAAGAGATGGGAGGGGAGTCATGGGAGAATGGGTGAGAGGTGAGGGGATTAGGAAGTACAAATAGGTAGTTACAGAATAGCCAGGAGAGTGTAAAGTACAATATAGGAAAGGGAGTCATCAAAGAACTTACATGCATGACCCATGGACATGAATCAAAAGTGGGGGATTGCCTGAGAGAGTGGGGGGTGCTTGGTGGAGAGGAGCAAAGGGGAAAAAAATCAGGACAACTGTAATAGCATAATCAATGAAATATAATAAAAACATGATGACTTCAAGATTTTTCCTCCCTGCCACTGGAAGAATGGAGGTGTCTTTAAAATGGTTTGGTAATGACTACATGTTATGGATAATACAATAACTGTTAAAACCCATATTTCCATACATTTAATGTCATAAAAATGCTTATGATTTGATGTTAACAGAAAAATGTGAGATATAAATTTACACAAATGGCACATGCCTACTTTCATTATATACAGTTATATAGAAATATATTCACAGAGAGGAGGAGGGGGTGTGAAGACCAGCCAGAAATGCACCAAAATGATAACAGGGTTTTTTGTATAACAGGGCAATGGATAATTTTCATTGCATATTTTTTATTTTTGTGTTTTTTTCAGTTTCTGAAGATAACAATACTTTTATAATCAGAAATAATAACATATTTTAATGAATAAATTAATCATCTAAGAAGATTCTAAAATAACTAAACGGTCCTGCTGTTGAAAATTTTATGCACTTTAGCATCAGGTTTTTATTAATATCCTTATTTATTTTAAATGGCAAAACCTCATAACCAAGTTAATTTAGAATAAATGATTTAGGAAAATTACCACTTTCTGCAGTTTGGAAGAGAAATGGATCACTAAACACTCCAATGCCAGCGCTGTTTTCAGCAGCAACCTAGAGTGGATCAAAAGAATTATTTTCAAACTTTTTACTTTATAATTAATCAGAACCTGAAATAATAAAATTTGGACTTGTCTTTTTATTTAGAAAATGATTTAAAAAAACTACACACACATTTCCTCTAATTCCTACAACACTCCTAAAGCGTGAGGCATGTGTGGAGCTAGTCCATGTTTTCATTTCCCCTAAGGATATATTTGCAGCACAGTTTGATTCAACAGATTTCTCATATTCCTAATGGAAAAATTGATAATCAAGTTTTATAGTCAACTAATAGTAACAATAACAATTGTTATTTATGGACAACTTCTATGCACCTGGAAATCGTCAAGCAATTTTACAAATATCATTTTAGTCACATAACCAGAACAAGAGGTATTGTTGTTAACAATTTGTAGATGAGTGCTGGCTGAGTGGCCCAATTAGTTGGAACACCATTCCATATACCAAAATTTGCAGCCTCGATCCCTGGTCAGGGCACAACTTAGGTTGCAGGTTTGATCCCCAGTCAGGGTGCATATGGAAGGCGATTGATCGATGTTTATCTCTCTCTCTCTCTTTTCCTTCCTTTCTCCCTAAAATCGATGAACATATCCTCAGGTGAGGATTAAAAAAAAAAAAAATCTGTAGTGAGAAAACTGGTTGACAGATGTCAAATAACTTGCCTGAAGTCATACAGGAATAAATGGTAGAATGAGAATTCAGTTAAATAGTGCTTATTTTTAAAGTTCAACCTCTTTCCACTATAGCCATTATCTATGCAAGACACTACAGTCATTTCTGTAACAAATGTGAGACCATAGCTACGGTATCTGGCTTTAGAATTTACAATTTAATCAGGCAAATAAATACTCAAGAAAACAATTTTTAAAATAAGTAGGTCTAATTCATCATTTAGACTAAGGAATTTAGAATTCAAAAGATATACACTGGCTGGCGTGGCTCAGTGGATTGAGTGCCAGCCTGCAAACCAAAGAGTCGCTGGTTTGCTTCCCAGTCAGGGCACATGCCTGGGTTGTGGGCCAGGTCCCCAGCGGGGGGCACATGAGAGGCAACTACACATTGATGTTTCTCTCCCTCACTTTCTCCCTCCCTTCCCCTCTCTCTAAAAATAAATAAATGAAATCTTTTTTAAGAAAAGATGGAAAATTTCTTTTTTACTTGGATAGCTAGTCAAATCGTCTAGAGTAGGCAGAGAAAGTATCATAAAGGAGATTAGCACTCTTAAGGTTTTCCAAATGGCCATAAGTGAAGTCGAACAACAGTGGTTTAAACTGTAGCTCTACCAATTCCCAGATGAGTAAATTTGGTCAGTTAAGTGTTTTAAGTCACGTTTCTCTTTTCCTTAAAGTGGGAATAATAATGTATCTATGTCATAGGATTGTTCTGAGGACTAGACTAAATTAAATAACACATGTAATGGGATTTTCCCATTGCCATGTAGATTTGATACCTGTATTTGAAGATATCAAATGTATCATGCCAAACACCCTTTGGAGTTATTCAATGGTTAACATTTATTTGAACAATGTAAAGGACACAACAATGATTTATAAAGTGTGAGATGAAAAGAACAATGAAGGCTTTCCAATAGGCCTAAAGTAAGAGGATTCAAAGGAATAAAAATTCGAACCCCATATAAGTAGATCTAAGCAGAACTAGGTTGGCTAAATCACCTTTCTGTCAGCAATAGCATCTTATATCACATTAAAATTTAATCTTTATGTATTACCCTCAAGAGGGTATTTTAACAGATAAATTAATCTTAATATGTTTTGTTTACAGAAAATAGCTGTAGTATGTCATTTTCAGATGTCAGTTATTAAAAGATTTCCTACTCTTTAACCCATGTTTCTGCAATGAAATCACTATCAACAACCTGATTTTGACCTCTGCATCAGTAAAAGTTTGCTTTTTACTTTCTCATTTGGGAGCTCCCTACAATTGGTACATGCTCTGCAGTTCTTGTTATGTTTTTTGAGCCCTCAGACAGACATGCTTCTAATAAAAAAAAAAAAATCTTCCAGACAAAACCTCTCTTTTCATCATTTCTTACCATCTAGAGGGTTGTCCCAACTACGTATGATTACATATTTATATAGTTCTTATAGATTTTTCTCAACATTCAATTACTTACAAAGCTCCAAAAACATTTTGATGTTAAGTTGAAAACAGAGAAGAGCAAGAAGCTGTACTCTTTACTATGCCCTAGAGATATCACAGATATTCCTGAAATGCAAACAGTTTCACATGGCCTAATTTAGGATGGCTTTTTATAGGTTCTTGTTTATTTAATTTTTAAATAAGATGTTAAGTTTTGCATATTAAATATTGTAAAGGACTAAAAAAATTTTATAAGCACAAACATACAGTAAATTTTCAGGAAATATTGGGGAATGGACCTGATTTGAATTCACTGTTCTTCGAGAACCTTGCTCATTAGGAACTTTTATTACATTATCCAAAACTTCAATAACAGACATACAAATACAACAGGACTAAGAGAAAAATAACAAAGCTAACTTTGATTTTATTAAAAAAGCAGACTATTTTCACTTATACAGCCTAAATTATTTAATGTAAACTTGATTTATCCTTTGAAAAAGTCACTAAGATAATGCTTTTTTAAATAGATACATTACATAAATGCACATAAAAAATGAAAAAGGGTTATGACATTTGCTCATTTTAGAAGCTTCGACAGGCACCACGGCCAGGACTCAGCTGACCGTTCTTAAGGTGCTGGTTCTGTCCAGCTGTAACAGCTGGACCAGGTGGGAACAGCTCCTTTACTTTCAAAATAGATAGAATATTTTAATACTAAGTAAATATTAACAAAATAATTACCTTGATTTCATATGTTGTTCCAGGATTAAGATTAGTAAGAAGAACTTCCAGACTGTCTGGCTTTGCTCTAACTTGTGTATATACTGTTTGCATCCATGGGCAAACCTCCTTATACTTCACAACGTAGGAGAGAATCCTTCCGTTTGGATTAGGGGGTGTGTTCCAAGACAGAAGAATCCCAGCAGATCCCACTCTTTCTCCTGCTAGGAAGACTGGAGGCCCTGGTTCTATTTTTTTTTTTTTTGAAAAAAAACATGTTGTTAAAAGGTCAAACAATTACTATATTTTCACAATCATAGGTAAGAAAAGTATTTATAAATGTAGACTTTTACAGTTCCCAAAGACTAATAGTCTCTTGAGTGTGAGTTTACCCTGCCTAGAATTTTGCTACCAAAAGAAAAATAAAAAGATGAAATGCTTTGGGGAATACCAAAAACATTCCTTTATAAGAATGTAAAAAATGAAATGCTACCAAATTCTACATGCCAAATACACTTTTGATGCCAGATTATTTTCTAAAGAAACTTACTTGTGCCAGGCTTATACACAAAAACTAAGAAAACAAATATTCTCGCCAACTAATTCTTTCTTAGCAAGCATAGTGAGTTTACTTTCAGGCTCTGTATTATTTAAATTTCGCCATTAACAGTCTCGGATCTGTTTCACAAACAAGTACAGGTTATCTTTAGTCTTTGAAAGAAAATGAAGCTAGAGAACAGTAAAACGCAGGTTCTAAACAGGTCACTTTAAATTTCCATTTTGTTTTAATTACCATTTGTTTTCAGGCATGTAATGTACATATTGCTAATATAAATATCTCCATACAATAGATCTATACAGACTCCAAATCTTCAGAGGAAAAAAAAGGTAATTGAAAGCATTTACTCACTGGTTACATTAGTTGTCACTGTTCTACTAACAGGTGAGCTATATGTTGTAGCAGAAATGGAAGAGATGGTTACATCATATCTAGTACCAGGAACAGCATTAGAAACATCAACCTAGAAAACCAAAAACAAACAATTGCAATAAAACTCTTCCTGGAACACAAGATAGCTTAAATAATGAATCTATCACAATTAGAAAAATAAAGTAACTTTACTGTATAACTCTGTAGCTTAAGATATCACAAGTTTCATAATACTGTAAAATATAAATGTATGCTACCACATAACTATTCACCAAATAAAAACTTACAAAACATACTGCATTATCAAACACTAAATCAGTATTTCTATCTATGCTAGTTCATTGTCACAAGAAACAACTGTTTAAGAGTCTTAAGAAACCTATAGCCCATTGCCTGGCAGTAGTTTTTAAGCATGTATAGGAAATACCTGTGTCTCTGAAGTTCCAATAAAAACTAAGAAAAAAATGATAAGAATATCCATCATTATTACATTTTTCAGGCAGTGGAATCACATTGATGGCTCTAGAGAGAAATGTTGCCTGCATTAATGATTTAAAGACAGATCCTCCTGGCAAGTACACAATTAATGAGCCTGGATTACTCAATAGCTCTGCCCTTTCTTTGTTAAACTATTCATGAACCCTTGGATGGCTGGCTGTAGGTTCAGGGTAGACTTTTAAAAAAAAAGGCATAGATGTTGCTAAGGTAACGGTCCACCGGTGCTGAAACTTACACTCATCATTTTGGCACCAGTGTTTTTGTCTTCATCGGATGCTTTTAAAAACTCTCAGAGGAGTAAGTTTTCATGGGGGATGAGTCTCATAAATAGCTTTCCTATTAGGACCAAATATAAATACAAGTTGGCTCGGCAAGTATGATAATGAAAACTATACCTGATACTCTCCACCTCCAAGATCTTTGATAGTAACAAAGCCACTGTCAGGAACCAGATCCACATGAAACCCTTCCACGTGGCCAGAGGGCAGGCTCCAGTGCAGAGAAAAGGAATGTGTGGAAATATTGAAGGCTTTAAGTTTCTTGGGTTTTTCTGGTTCTGATATTGAAAAATAAAGGTTTGAAATACGGTTAATTCTCTTAAAGCTTCAAAGAAAAAATTGAAAATCAATAGTCTAAAGATCAGGTTTCAAACTAATCACATTGTTAGAAAACACTGAGTCTATTATGTCTAGCCTTAGGGAGGTCTTAGGCATATATATATCTTTAACATTAACCAATTTTTAAATTATAAATATCAGAAATAATGTATTGATTTAGGTATCTGTTTCTGGGATATTTTTTTACCTACTAAAATCTGTTGGTGGGCCATAATGTTTTTTAAAGTTAGTTTCTAATAGAAAAATTGAATCATTTTATAGCAAAGTAAGTACAAACTATTTATCCAATTACCTGGATATTTATCAAATAGAAGACAATTGGGGGAAAAATATAACCAAAATCTGCCAAATTTTTTAAAGGGTGAGAAATTCTGATAAATATTTAGTTAGGTGTTTCTTTAAAGGAAAGGTGAGTTCTTATATAGGAGAGGAAATGTGATAGTTTTCAAACAAGTCCCACTTGTCCTAGCTATTTCAACTGTATTTTTCCACTTTTGCTTCCTCTGTTTCCAAAGTTTTGCTTATGCTGCCTGTCCCTCCCTGAAGAGAGTTTTGTACTTTAAAGCTCTTATTGGTTGCCAGTGAGTCACGTTTTCCCTCTGCCTCATCTTTAGTGCAGATTCCAAACAAACAATATATGGGACGGAGAGAAATTATGGAGCCAGGCTGGTGAAAAGCATATCTGACAGAGACCATATCTTAACACTATTTTCAACAGAAAGGAGTCTGGAATCAAGAATCAAATTTCACTTGTCATTTTAAAGTCCTGCTACCAGAATGGATTTGAAATGGATATAATTTTTAAAATGTACATATATTTCCTAATAAAACTGATAATGGTACATTGCATAAAATAGAAATCTAACATAACGAGTTAATTTCTCTTTTAGGGGGAACAGAGGGAGTTCCTTTTAGAATGATTTTTCTTTAACCCCTTTGAAAAGTTCATTTAATGTTTGTAATGCAGCCCAAGCACCTAAAACTGATATCCGTCAATCAACTTCCTCCAAAGCTATGGTCACTCCTCATCATCATCTCTAAATTGTTCGTGTTGTGAGCTCTGCAGTTTTATAGTAACTCTTTAGAAATATTATAAACCCAAGGTCAAAGACCAGAGAAATACCAAGTTTGTGGTGGGTATAATTCCTTTGGTCCACAGCTGCTGGCATTTTTCCTGGATGGTCTTGCACACAGACCTCCGTCCTCAGTATACTGAGTATGGAGGGAATAGAGCTTGGTTCTACTCACCAGCCCACACTAAAATAAATGAAAGTCTAACATGACAAAAGTCCAGTTAATATTACTAACTCTTACTGATTTATATGAGGGCTAATACTATTTCTTCAAGGGTCCCAGAAAAGAACTAATATCCATAAAGTCTTTGGTAAGAAACTAGAAAAGACCTCAGCTGAGACTCTGGAAGAAAAAGGAAACCCGGAGAAGTAAAGGTCTGCTTACTGAGATGGTGGTGAGATAGGATGTAGTTTCCTAGACTGTGGTTTAAGGTTACACACTGAAGAACTCTTGGCTAAGGAGGAAGCATGTCTCACCAAGAGGAGGAAGAATATATTTGTCTGGAAATTTGCCAATCTGATCAGGAGGCAAGGCCTGAAAATTTCAAGACAGTTTGGTAAAGACCTTTCAAAGCAGGGTGAATAGAAGCCCTAGAAACAGACAGAATTTTGAGTAACTGAGAAAAGCCAGCCTGAGTTCCTGGGGTCACATAACAAAAACAGCCTGGTGAACATGCAGGCCATAATAATGATTTTATATTTTTTTCCTTAAATACAATGTGAATCTATTTTTAAAATTTTAAGCAGGAAAGCAATCTGCCTTTTTAAAAAATTTTGAAAAGATTACTCTAGAATGGTATATGATTTGGAAAGAGGCAAAAATGGCAGTGAGAGGCCAGCTGGTGGGATATTGTGACCACCTGGGCAAAGAGGAGCGAGGCTTATCCTCTGAAAAAGGTAGCGGTGGCGACGCAACGTATAAATCACGTGGAAGCGTGCAGCTTTCTGGATATGGGCTGGAAGATTCAGTTAACTGAAAGTAGACCCTACAATGAATATATGATTTGTACCTCACAAATAGGAAACAAAAATATTCTCTTTATTGATTGGGGAAAGAATACTACTCTCAACCTAACTTTACTTAACAAGGAAAACCAGAGGTGGATATGTTTGGAGTTTCTTTTGTTTTTGTTTTTGTTTGTTTTAAATCACACTGGGTTTGATTTAATTAGGGCTAGCAAAAGGAATTCAAGGCTTAGTTTGATGATTTTTTTTAGACCATTGTTTTCCAGAAGTAAATCCTCAGAACTCTAAATCCTTAGAATTTAACAGATGCCCTGTGAGCAAACAACTGTGTCAAATAATTCCTTTTTTTTCCATGAAGCAGTTTTCTTTATTGCAGGATATCTCAGAGCCTTAAATATGCTTAATTATGTCTCTTATTATTCTCTAAAGCAGTGCCGTCCAATAAAAATATGTGAGTCACACTAAAAAAGTGGAGAAACATGTAAAATTAATTTTAATAATATATTTTATTTAACCCAATATATCAAAATATCATTTCACAGAGAATGAATGTAAAATTATTCAGATGGTTAATTTTTTTCATGCTGTCTTTGAAATCCCATGTGTCTTACACGCTTACGGCACATCTGAATTTGGACTAGCCACATTTCAAGACTCGAGAGTCACGTGTTGCTAATCACTGCACATGAGTGCCCTCGAAAGCATCGCCCATCTTTCCCCTTGATATTTCAGTAAATTTACCTAAACTGCATTTTGAGAAGCTGAGAAAAAAACAGAAATAGGATCCCATGATCAGTGTCTATAACAAAAAACAGATCAAAAGAGTTGGGACAACATCAAAAACAAAATTCTGATACTAACTAGGGTACATAAACCTTTGAGAAAGAGAGTAAATATAGATTTAAAATGGAAGAGTGTGGTACATAGAGAGCTCCTCAGTAGATCCTGACTCCTAAAAGAGTATATATAAAGTGGCAGAAGTGTTACATAACTTGGAACATATTCACAAAAGAGTTGCACAAACCTATCGAAACAGTATCAAGAAAACAAAAGTCTACAATGAACAGCTTTTAAAAATTAAATGTGAAGACTTTAAAAGGTTTCATTACAATTATTATTAACTTCTGTTATTTCCTGTGTAGCAACACAGCATATGCTAAGCTTTGAATATCTCTTTTAAATCTTTCCATGATCAAATCATAGGTTAGGCATAAAATACACTATGACCTATGAGATACTCATGCACTGGACATAAAACATACTAAGAACTAACTCTTACCAAGTATAGAGGATATATAGTATACACTATATATCCTGCTAAGCACTTCCACACATTGTTTGATGTAGCAGTCATAACAATTCACAAGTATATACCATTATTGTTGCCATTTTAAAATGAGAAAACAGAAACAAAGAATTTAGGTAACTTTTTCGAGGTCTCAAAACGAACGAGTGAATGGTAGAGCAGGATTTAGACCCAGAGTAATGGCTTCAGGGCTCAAGCTTAATTAAGATTGTGAATCCTAAAGTGGAAGTAAACCTCAATTACCCAGGTAGGCCCAATCTAAGCACACAGGCCCTTAAAAGTGGAAGAGAAAGATGGAACAGTCAGATGCGATGGGAAAGAAGGCAGGAGCAAGTTGAAGCACGAGTGTGACTTAACCTGCCTTTGCTGGTTTTGAAGATGGAGGAAAAGTATCACAAGCCAAGAAATGAGGCACCATTTAAACCTAGGATCAGCTCACAGCTGACAGCCAGCAAGAAAATGGCTACCTCAGTCCTACAACCACAAGGAGCTGAATTCTGCAAATGATCTGAATAAGCGAAGAACTATGTGTTCCCCTATAACTTTCAGAAAGGAACACAGCCCTTTCAATACTTTGATTTTAGCCTGATGAGATCTGTGTTGGACTTAGGAACTATGACATGAATTTTTTGTTGTTGTTTGAAGCCACTAAGTGTCTGTTAATTTGGCACAGCAGCAATAAGAAACACAGCATGTAACAGCCACATAACAAAACTGTCAATAGACTGAGTTATCAGCATATGTCTGCTTTGGATGATCTGTTTAATCCACAGCCTAAGAGGAATCTTATGAGTTATTGCTGAAATTATGTTCTCTTTTGAAAAGCTTACAATATGGACAGGTTTCCAGTTTCATCTGGATTTTAAAATGATGCTTTAAATTATTCAGAATAGGATTTTGTTCTCATATAAAAACAGCAGAACTCTAAAAAATTGAATTGCTTATAGTTCACAAATACACCATATTCATTTACACCTCCATGATTTTGCATAGGTTGTCCCCTCTCTCCATGAGTCCTCCTTTC